GGTGGCTTAATCATTTGCAGTCGTCAAGCTTCGGATCAGCTCCTCCTGTTTCAACTCTACTACTTTAATCTCTAAATCACACATATAATTAGCACATTCAGAAGAGTTGAGGTTTTCAAGGGCCCTCTGTTTGGCGTCATTTACCTCTTCTTGCTTCCGCCTGAAGGGGCCTCGGAGCCCGTCTACCCTCAGCATTACCTGAGAAAAGAGCAGCCGAATTATGACATACTTAGTAAAAATGAAGAAAAGATCAGAATTAAGTTGAGGATTGTTTACCTCAGCCAGTTGGCCCATTATCGGGTCAAAGTCCACTACCTGCAGATCAGGTATGGAATTTTTCTCCGACTGGGTATGGGTCCTCACCATCCGTTTGGCAAACCCAACAAGATCCGGCTCGTCAGATGTAAGATCTGCACCAAAAGAAGTAGAAGTACTTGGTGAGAAGGAAGCAGCATAGTTGGCATTTATCCGTTGTCGGCTGCTGACTAAACCCACAGAGGGGTCTACCTTAGTCTTGACTCTCATGAAGTAAAGTGGCCAAGGTATTTCAATCTTGTCCTTACCTTGGGTGTCCGGATGGGACGCAGGAATCTCCTCCCCAGTTGTTGCCGCACCGGCTGCAACATTAGGCGGCCGACCACCCTTCGATGTCGTTGAGACATCCGGCGCATTCTTCTGCGAGCGTTTTGAGCTTTCGCTCAGAATTTTCATCGCAGAAGGCGATTTACCACCGATCGTGGGACGATCGGTTTTGGAAGTAGAAGTTGACTGGGGGGTCCCTCCTGGCGGCCTTGGTAGCCGGGGCCTTTTCCAGATCCTCCCCTTGCCTTTTGAAAAGCTCGGAGAAGGAGCGTGGAACGCGTTTAACAGAGTCCTGCAAATTAAGAAGTTAAATATACTATAGACACCTAAAAATTTCTGCCCAAAACCAAACCCGATGATGAACAACCTTTCACCGCCACTATTAGTCGAGTTCAGTATTTAATCCTGAAAGTGCTTAAAAAATCGTATTTAATTAAATTCAACTTTTGAATAGTCCATGGATCAGTCTTGATGTTTAGTCAAAGCATAGTATTAATTTTAGCCCAAATCTTTTTTATTTTATTGTTTTATTATTTATTTTGGCTCAAAATTTTTATTTATTTTATTTACTTATTTTCATATTTTAGCCCAAATAATAATAAATCAGAAATGGCCCGAAATTATCAATCGACACTTAAAATGCTGAACAAAGTTAGGTTTGAAAATGAATTTAGCAGGAAAAACGGACTAAAAACTCCCGCGTCACAACAATAGTCCACCGTGTCACGGCAAGTGACATGGGGCATCAGCTGTGACACGGGGGTTTCCGTGTCTTTTCCGCGTAAACCCTTAACGCGTTTTCTGCCCCATTGACTAAATATTTCCCGCGTCACACAACAGTAAACCGTGTCACGGGAATGTTTCCCGTCTGACAGTGGGTATTCCTGTGTCACGGTACACTTTGCCGTGTCGCGGTATATTTTTTAGGGTTTTTATCATTTTAGGGTTCCTTGTGTTCCCTCAACACATTTTTTCTATAAATACTCCCTCATTTCTAATGTACGGGGCATCAATTAATTCTCTATTTTTTCTCTCTTCTACGCTCTAGCCTAAACACTAGCCTACCCTTCTTCTTTTAAAATTCCTTCTTCAAGCACTCCAAGGAGTCCATACTTTACTCGTGGTTCTGTCCTTAAGCCAAGGCGTGAAAGTTGCAAGCAAACAGAATCAAAGTAAGAATTATGTTCCTTTTATTTCTATTGTTTTTCTAACGATTTTATATTGTTGGAATTATTGTTAAATTGCTTCCAATATTAATGTTTATTCTATTTATATATGATCACCACATTGCATGTCAAAGGGAATATGTAATTGAAAATCACGCCTAATAAGATAATTTGGACAACTGGTTTAGGTTCTTTTTTAATCTTGTTGTTTAATCAAGTGATCACAATTTTATAGAATTATATGTTGCATTAATATTAAACCAATTTAGCTTAATAATAGTTTGGAACGAATTGAATCTCTGTTTGTATGCCTTTGAGATCGCAGGAATGTTTTTCACTATAAGAATCGAGTAGAGGCCAATACGGGCGAATGTGACTCCATGACTCACTTCGTACCATCATCCCCGATCCTCCTTTCGTGGTTCTGAACCATATGGAGTTAGTAATCTCATGGATTATGAATGGGGTGTAACCTTCACGGGTCAATCGTTGTTGCCTATCGTTGTCCCTTATTCGTGGTTGCCTTTTATGATCCATGAAAGGTTTACAAGTTCCTTAAAAACTTGTTTGCGGCTCCCTAATTTAGTTGTCCCTAATCTTATTATGTCAATTCCCACTTCCTATGAGGGTCAAGCATATTCACACATGTTTTAACGTAGGCGCACTTCAAACGACGCCTACAATTTGGCGACTCCACTGGGGAGGATTCTTGGTTATTTATCGATTTGAGTGATTGGTATTTAATTAAGATGAGTGGAAGAGACTTGCAAGATTCTTGAAAAATATTCCTGTGATTAATTTGGCATTTTTTCATAAGCATAGACGTTTTAACGTCGCATTTAGGACTGTCCTGTAGGAAAAATTGAATAACTTGATTGCGTACGAAGGAAAACAGGGCACCAGTCAGATTTTCTTACTACCGTGCCACGGGAGAATATGCCGTGTCACGGTGCAGCACACCGTCTGACGGTGTGCAGCACCGTGGAACGGGAATCTCTGTCGTGTCACGGGAGTCTGGTGGCTTGTTTTCTCTTCTCACAGTCAACTTCCTTCGATTTTTCTGAAAAAACGTGTGTGTTCTACATGCGTCTTAGCCCCGGGGGATTTAAGCTCTATCAACCCAAAAACACTCATGGCAATAAGGGTTCATCCGAGTTATTAAATCCACCCAAACCATGGAGTCGAGTTCGATTTCATCACGAACTCGCGGAGCCGCCCGTTTGCATACACCCTCAAGGGAGGCTGCCTTGCTAACGCGTCAAAACTCTAAACCATGGTACCCTTTTGACACCCAAAGCTTGACCAATAGTTGAACATAGATCTTGACCTTATGTTGCGAACTCTTTTTTTTACATCATCGTGACTAAATGCTACATGGTTTGTTTGGTGCTAACCCTCATGTGTTTGCTCTTTTTGTTTAACCCATGACTGAGGGTTTTTATTTCCACATAGTAATTAGTACGGACCTTAAATCGATTAAAATCTTGAAAAACTCATAAAAAAGACCTAGAACTGAGCACCGTGTCACGGCAAGTCCTGCCGTGCCACGGTGAACAATGTCGTGACACGGCACTTTCTACCGGTTGACGATAGACTACACCGTGTCATGACATGAGAGAAAGGCATATTAGCTAGTGATTGTGAGGCCCCAATTCTTAACTGGAGGGGACACCAAAGTCCTCTGCCCTTCCATCTCTTGGATAGAGATAGATAGAGAGGGAGGGCAGGGTTTTTGGTTTTTTCATGTTGTCAAAGAGTTGAATCTTTTAATGAATCCTTCGAATCTTTCTTACTTTATCTAACGGGTTGGAATTTCAAAAAAAAAAACTTACCACGGTCGAAGGAATGTGTCCCAGGGCAACATAATGAAAGAGGAAGGAAGATTATCCCGCTGGTGCTTACTCTCAGTCTCAAGGAAAAGCTTTTATGACTGGGCGGACATACCGAATAGTCGGAGAGAACAGTTAGCACCGTGACACGGTGCCCAAGAGAAGTGTCCCGTCAGTCTATTTTTGGTTTTTTGCGTACGTATGTGGTTTATGTGTCTAGTTTGGTGTCATATCTAGCTGTACGATCATAACACGCGTCCATAACCTCACTTAATCACTCACATGTCATGTTCACACTTTTTTTTTCGTTAGTCGTGCACCATTTCATGACCGTATTTTAGGGTAGTCTTTTCTCGTTTTTTTTCGGAGTAAGTCGGATGGTATCCTCCCATATATTTTATTTTTTTTAAAAAAAAATAGAATTTCAAAATTAAAATTTTTTATTATTTTTTCTGGATGGGTTAAGGTTAAGTTTGGTCATTAAAGGTGTGTTTGTTTCGGTGTTACAGCACTTGGTCAAGAAGCAGGGGTAGATTGTTACGGTTCGAGTCAATACCTCAACAACCTCTTATACCAAAGAGGTGTACAAGGAAACCACCACAATCATCTCCGCAAGATCCGTCTCCAGTCTACTTTCAACCAATGGCTACTAAGGAAGATATCGAGAACATCAACAGGACAATTGAAATGTTGTCTAACATGATGCAAACACTCACCGCTCGAGTCAACACGATAGAGCAAGACAATGAGAACAATGTCACTGCCGCTGCAATGGACAAGATTAAGGAACAGATGAGTAAGATTTCTGAAGAATTCACTTATGTGGAGCAACCTGTCGCCTCTTCGTCCAGAAGGGACAAGCTTCCTGAGAAGTTTTCCACTGCTAACATTCCCAAATTCAAGCCTACTGATAATGCGCTTTTCCATTTGAAGGCCTTTCTGCGACCATGGCTCTTAAGGGAGTAGATGTGACACTCTTCCCTACGGTGTTCCCTCTTTCCTTAGAGCATGCCTGTCATCAATGGTTCTACTCTTTGGAATCCAAACATGTTGCGACCTGGAAGGATGTTGCTGAAAGCTTCATGAATAGTTACAAGTGTAACATTCAAGCCAAGACTCACTAGTGGAAAAAAGGCCATCCGTAACGGGCAAAAAGGGCCCATCCGTAACGGGCGGCGTCCGTTACGGATGGCCATTGTTATTCGTAACGGGCATTGTCCGTTACGAATAATGGGTTATTCGTAACGAACATTTCAAGTGCCAGTTACAAATAACTTGTTATTTGTAACGGGAATTTCAACTGCCCGTTATAAATAACCTCGTTATTTGTAACGGGCATGATATCTGCCCGTTACAAATAGTGTGTAACCCAATTTTAAAAAAAATCTAGCACATGTTGCTGTGCTGGATTAGCTAGCTTGCATAAAAATTATAGCACAATTATTTTATTAATTAATTGAGATAAAAATAGTACTTCATATTTATACAATGAGCAAAAAAAACATTTATTATTGCCTAAATAATTAAAACTAAAAACCTTCTGCTACATTAATTCTTTTTAGTCCAAAGCTATTTAACTTTTCAATGATGATCTTTGTCCAAACCTTTTGCTTCATTGATTCTTCTTAGGCCAAAGCTATTGCTGCATCAGTTCAATCTCTTGCTGAAGGCCCCATACTTGATCTGCAACATCGAATAATATATTGGCCTCTTGAATCAATATAGAGCCAATCCACTGGACAACTGATACAACAATGGATTCTGCCATGGTTGTGAGCTTTTGGTGTTTACCTTAGTTTTCCTGTTGATTTCACATAAATAAATTAATATTAAAGATAGTCAATTCTAACTTACAACAAACACACACACATTACAGGGAAAAAGAGAATTATGAGGTGCCTGACAGATCCTACTATAGCAATGAACCTTTTATTTGGGTGAAATTCTTAGATCTTTTCACAATTGAGGAAAGCTTATTCTTCAAATAACCAGAAAGATACATCAATGAAAGTAAATAATACTTATGTAACCAGAAAGACACAAGGCAATATATCTTACACTTTGGTAATTCAGGGGTTGTCCTATTTTATGGGTTTTAGGGTTTATTGTCCATGAATTTATTTGCTTCCGCTAGCACTCATAACCGTTACATACTCAATGTAACAATGACAATAATTTATTCATATATATGATCACAGTTTTTCAGTATACTAGCTAATGCAGCAATTCATATGACATAATGCAACAGACATCAGATAGCACTTTATTCAAAACTTCCAATAGACAGCAGACAACAGATAACACTTTATCCTCCACGAGTTTTTTTTTATCACTAGGCCTAATCCTTGCAGTATTGGCAGACATGAACAAATTATTTCACACTAAAACTAAAACTAAAAACTAAAAACTCAAAAAAAAGTAAAAGCTTAAATCATGAAACTCTTAAACCTTAAAGTCAAATCAGTAATCAGGTAATGCATTATAATCAAGTAATGAATCAAGATCACAAAATTCGGACTCCAGGAAATTCTTAAACTTCAAATCATGTTCATCAGCTAAACACATCAAATACTTAAAACTCTGTTATAAATCTTTAATCATATATTATTTTATCCAATTTTTCAATTCAACAATCCAATAACCTCGATATACAAGGATTCATATAAAAATGAAGCAATCAATCCACAAAACATGAACAAAAAAAAAGCATAAAAATCATAAAACAATCTAAAATCCAAATAATAAAACATCAAAACATGAAAAGATTCATCAATTAATCTACTTCATCAGATCTGAACCAAAAACCAATCAAATTACAGAACAAAATCAATTGCAAAAAAAGTCAAACCGAAATCAATTTGAGGTTATTTTAGTGGCTTCAAATTTACAAAATAAATTAGCTTTTAGGTTGCACACATGAGGTGTTAAGAGAGAGAGAGAGAGAGACCTATGCACATGGAAATGACTCCAAAACGACAATTTCTTCCTCGGCGTTTCATCACATTAAGTAAAGTAGCTACACACCGGGCACCTAAAAAAAGAGCAAAGTAGGAATTGAGTACAACAATACACTAATAAACAAGGCTTTGTTATTGTCTACCTTATTTTAAAAGATTAAAACTAATTTCATGCACTGAAATCATATTTAGATTTCGTCTAAAAACCGAGTTTTACAATGTATAACTGCTTTTTACTTATATAAATCCCTCCTCCCTAAACAGAGCCTAACTCACTCAATAAGCATTTTCTCTAGTAAAGCCAAAATGCATACCTGTAGCTCCCAAGGGATATCCAAGGGCTATTGCTCCCTCATTAACATTTACTTTCGCTGGATCGAGGTTCAGCTTTTTACAACAGTAAACATACTGAGATGCAAAGGCCTGCATTGAAAATGGATGTTACAAATTTGAGAAATGGTGTTGAAGTCACCAGCTGAAAATATGAGGAAGCTTGTTCAGAGTGTTAACCTCATTTATCTCAAATAGATTGATATCGTTAAGCTTTAGCCCGACATATTTCACAGCAGCAGGAATGGCAAAAGCTGGGCCAAACCCCATAATAGAAGGATCCACACCAACAGCAGCAAAGCTCCTAAAACACAAGATTAATAGTAGCAATTCAACCTTACAAATAAACTACAGTATTTCTCAAACAACAAACTCACAAAATCAAACAAGTGCAAAATTTAAGATTAAAATACACAATTGAAACCGAAATTCATTTCCAACACTATTACTTCCTCTAAATCAACATGCAAACAAAAAACATCAAACACAAAAAACAAAATTCAATTATGAAATTCATAAAAATGGAAATTCAAACGCAAACAAGATCTAAGGTCATAGCAGAAAATGCAGAATCAATAGAAAAGAGAATACACATACAAAGATCCATGATTGTAGAGATCGATAGAAACGGAGATACGTTCGACGCCATTGCTGAGCTTTGTAAGGGTAGCCTTCTTGTGAGCTACAATAAAAGCTGATTCCGAATCCCCCATTGCTGAGATTGAACATGAAACAAGAATCATAACTAAAATTACAAACCCTAATTGATTGATTGAAGCCACCATTGTTGAATTCTCTGAAGTTGCAGATTGAGAATTGAAAGGGGAGAATTTTCAAAATGTGAAGAACGAAAGAGAAGCGGAAAAATTCCCAAAACTAAGTCATTTAAATCGATTTTCCAAGAAATAAAAACAAAATTGCCAAATATAATTTTAAAATCCAGAAAAATCATAGAAATTGAAAAAAAAAGGGTAACAAGTAACAAAAAATTAAAAGAAATAAGATCTAAGAACCTATATATCCTTGTAAGCCGTGGTTTCCAACGATCTAACCTTTGATTTCTCTGTTGCCGTTAGTGACTTCTTCCTCTTTTTCGCCTCTTATTTCACTTCCTCCTCTTGGTTTTCAACAATAAACTAGAAAAAATCATTCAAATAAAAATCAGATTAAAATATAATTATAAAACCCAAAAATTCTACCAATTTGAATCTAATTGCTACAGATCTTGTAGCAAAAACAAAACAGAAATTTAAAAAAACGCATAATCAAGAGGAAAGAGAATATGGAGGTAAGGAGAGGTGGTAAAGAGAGTAAAAGAGAATGAATCTTGAGGAAAGAGAAAGACAGTGAGTTCTAAAGAGGAGAGAGAAAGGTAGTGAGTGAGTGAAAGAGAAAGTTAGAGAATGATTTATGAGGAGAGAGAAAGACAGGGGAGTGACGGCTGAGGAGATGTGTGAAACCCTAAGTAACTAATGGGCTCATCTCATCAGCTGGACGCCTGGACCAATCATTCGTAACGGGCCCATGATATCCGTTATAAATAGTATACTATTTGTAACGTGCGGTATTTTGTCCGTTACAAATATAATAGTATTCGTAATGGACATTATTTTGCCCGTTACGAATAAATAAGTATTCGTAACGGACACTATTTTGCCCGTTACGAATATCTTAATTGTAACGGGAAAAGCTTTGCCCGTTACAAATAGCCTATTACAAATGAGATTTTTTCCACTAGTGACTTCTGAACATTAACTCTCCATTCTCTAACAGAAAGAGAATGAAGGCTTCACCACTTACTTAAGCAGGTGGAGGGAAACAGCTGCGCTCTTGGTGGATCCCCCCAAGGAAAAAGAGATGGTTCGCTTGTTCATTGCCAATTTGACTCATAAGTACAAGCAACACTTGAAGTTTCTGCCTCTGAGTACCTTCGAAGCTGTATACGATATTTGAATCAATATCGAAGATGAAGTGATGAAGACTGCTGGTAGCAACAATAACAACAATAGCACTTGGAAAAACAAGAAGAACGACACTCCTTCTTCCTCATCTTCCTAGCCCAATAATGCTACCAACAATATCAATATCAATGATGTGCTGGCCCTTAATGCTCCTCCTCAAAGATTCCAAAGGCAAAGGAGGGTTTACACACCTTTAGGAATGACTTATGATGCCGCTTTTGATCGCTTGCATTGTCAAGGATTTGCCAATTGGACCGTTTCCAGAGCCTCGACCAGAGAATAGAACCGCTAGCTATGACCCTAATGCTCATTGCAAGTTTCATCAAGGAAAGGGTCATAATACTGAGAAGTTTTGGAGGTTGAAGGATGCGATCCAAGACCTGATTGATGCTAATCAACTTCCTGTCCCTTCAGGGGGCAAGAAGCCTAACATTCAAATAGGTCCTCTTTCTGATGCTTTGGCAATCATGGGAGATGAAGTCTCCTTTGATCCGTCAATACTCATTCAACCTATGAATGAACCTTTGCCGGAAGTTGTATTTGTCTCGAGCTATGAAGAAGTGAATGGAATTAGGGATAGTGACAATGAAGACGTCTATCTCAAAGATATAGCCTATTCGTCTCTTGGCACAAGTGAAGATATTTGGGGAGACCTTGAGGTCAAGGTTCTCACCAAAAGTGGACGGTTGCAACAGCCTAGTCCACCTCCACCTCCACCGCAATCACAACCAATAGTTGATCCCATCGACCTTGTGAACAACGATGTGGTCAAACGATTACAAAAGACCAAGGTGGAAATGAATGTATGGAAGCTTTTGGCCACCACCCACGAGCATTGAAAGGCTGGGATGAATGCTCTGGTGGAGATAGGAGTTGATGATGATATGACTCCTTAAGGACTGGTCAACTTTCTCACTACTAAATTGCCAAGTACTAGCAATTTGATTTCCTTTTCTGATAAGGATCCACCCACGGAAGGGGACCAACATAACAAGGCCTTACACCTCACTGTGGTGTGTAGGAAGATGATGAATGTTCCTATGAGCCTGGTTTATAATGGCTCTGCAATCAATGTATGCCCACTCCACACTTCAAAGAAGTTGGGCATAAAAAATGAAGAAATGACTCCCTCTACTCTGGGGATTCGCGCTTATGATAATACTCGTCGCCAAGCCGTGGGTACTATCATGCTAAACATAACTACTGGAGTCATTAAACGTCGCACCAAGTTTCAGGTGGTGGACATTAAGGCTTCTTTCAATCTGTTGTTAGGACGTCCTTAGCTTCATGAGCTAAAGGCGATCCCATCGTCATTGCACCAGAAAGTGAAAGCCATAGTTGGAGGGGTTCCAATTACCATTGATGTCTCCCCCATGCGCATTCAAGTTATCGATACCCCCATCGTCCATGTTGAACATGACGAAGAAGATGAATATCTCTGGGGGTTTTCGCTCGATGATGTTCTCATGATCGAAGAAGAGGAGAAGTCTCATCTCGACTTCGATCCATATTCAAACACCAATGTTAATGCCATTATGAAAAAGCAAGGACATTTCCCTAGAATGACCCTCGGACTCAAAAAGGAAATGGCTGAACTTTGGGGGCATCCTGGTGCACTCAAAAAGATACCATTAGCCTGGGATTCAAGCCAACAAAAGAAGATGTGAAACAAGCCCTCTTGGAAATGAAGGCTCGCAATAATCCTCGAATCATGAAGACGTAAATGGCCATGGATCCATATCCATTCACCCTCAATGGCCAGTATATCAAAGAAGGAGAAGACTTCCCATGCTATGAATTCCCTGAGCCTTTTGTCCACGATGGGAAGTGTGAACCAGGATTTGAGATGTTCCTCGATTGTGACTTCGTCGATGAAGGCGAAGAACTCTTCACAACTGAGAAACCAGCTAGTCCAAGCTCTGATGATCTAAACATTAATCTTATTTTTGGACTAGAAAAGAATGAATCCAAGCCTAACTGGAATGATGATTCCGAGCTCATTCAAGCTGTTATATCAAGCAAGGATTTTGACCCCTCCGAGTTAATCGTCCAGGCTGATGATATTTCAAAGGGATGGTGCAAGACAATGAATATCACTACGCTAAGCGGAGAGAAGTTGGAAATAACCGCTGGAAAAGGTCCTATGTTTAATGAGTCTGAGTCGTCTGGGTCCGAGTCCGAGTCTGAGTCTAAGTTTGTAGACGAGTCTTTAGGATCTGAGACTGACCCTCTTTCTGATATAGAGTCCAATGCTGAGTCTCTTCTTGAGTCTTCTCTTCTTAGCCCAAATAATTCCTGTGAGGTCGCAGCTGACCTTGCCCCTCTTAACGTATTGACCGATGAATTCAATAAAATGAATACCTTTGCTTACGATGCATGTCATTCCCCCAACCCTGATAAATATTGCTTTGCTAATGATAAAAATGACAAAGAAATAATAAAAGCAATGGAAGAACACGAAAATAAAACAACAATTATTGAAGATACAGAAACAGTTAATATTTCCAATGATACGACTATCAAGAAGTAAAAATTGGATTAACACTAAGTCAAGATGAACGCAAAGAGCTAATTAACTTGCTTAGTGAATTTGTTGATGTATTTTCTTGGTCCTACCAAGATATGCCAGGAATTGACCGAGATATAGCTCAACATACGATGCACTCCTATCGTTCATGGACGGCTACGCCGGATATAATAAAGTATTAATGGCGAAGAAGATATGGAGAAAACCACATTCATCACACAATGGGGTACATATTGCTATACGGAAATGCCATTGGGGTAAAAAAACGTGGGTGCCACCTACCAAAGAGCAGCCACGACATTGTCACATGATATGATGCACAAAGAGGTGGAGGTCTATGTTGACGATATGATCGTCAAGTCAAAAGATCGCCCATGCCACATCATTGCACTTCGCAAGTTCTTTGAAAGACTCCGCAAGTACAACATGAGATTAAATCCAGCAAAGTGTGCATTTGGGGTCACATCAGGCAAACTACTTGGATATGTGATCAGTTCTCGAGGGATTGAAATTGATCCCACAAAAGTCAAAGCGATCATGGCCATGCCACCGCCCAAGAATGAGAAAGGAATTCGAGGCTTCATTGGAAGGCTGCAATATAATTAGGTTCATATCAAAACTCACGGGGATATGTGAACCTATATTTAAGAAGCTTAAGAAAAATGTCCCAGTCACATGGGATGACGATTGCCAAAAAGCTTTCGACAAAATCAAAGAATACCTGGCAAATTCACCCGTGCTAGCGCCAGCAATACCTGACTTTCCTCTTCGACTCTACCTTACAGTCACAAGAGAAACGATAGGGGAAATGCTAGCACAAGAGATCGAAAGCAAGGAGAATGCAATTTACTATTTGAGCAAGAAGCTTCAAGGATATGACACACGATACACACCGCTTGAAAAAATGTGTCTCGCACTTGTGTGGGCCGCACAGAAACTAAGACATTACATGGTCACTCACACAGTGCATGTCCTGTCCAAGATGGATCCTCTCAAATACCTGTTCGAAAAAGCAACACTCAATGGAATATTATCAAGGTGGATAGTCAACCTTGCTCAGTTTGACTTGAAATTTGTACCACAAAAAGGCATCAAAGGTTATGCGGTTTCTGACTTCTTAGCAGATTTTCCGCTAGAAGAAGTTGAGAAGGAAGAAGATGAATACGATTTCCCTGACGAAGATCTACTCATGACCGAGGATGATAGCTGGACGCTCTATTTCGATGGAGCTTCAAACCAAAAAGGTTGTGGTGTAGGAGTCTTGCTCGTATCACCCAATGAAGAGCATATCCTAATTTCCATGAAGCTCGACTTTGATGTCACCAACAATGCCACAGAGTATGAAGCATGCATTTTGGGATTAGAAACAGTTGTAGCCTTGGGAATTAAGAAGCTCATAATCTACGGAGATTCGTCACTAATCATCAACCAAATCTCCAAGAGATGGAAGGTGAGAAGTGAAAGTCTCGCTACGTATCAAGCTCTTCTGGAAACTCTCATGGAGCAACTAGATGAAGTGGAATATACATACTTGCCTAGAGAAGAAAAACCAGTTTGCCGACACACTGGCTAAATTAGCATCAATGGTGCGAATTCCAACAGATACAATCATAAAGTAGATAGAAAGAAGATATGAACCGGCTTATGTTCACGCACTTGATGATGAACAAGAATCACAAGAAGATGAAGAGCCATGGTATATAGATATCCTTAACTACGTGACAAAAGGAGAATACCCTCCTAATACTGATAAAAGGGCACGTCGTGCTTTGAGGCTCCTGGCCTCACAGTATGTGCTCATTAGGGGAGAACTCCACAAAAGAACTACACTAGGGCGAAATCTCTTATGCATAGCCAAGAAAGAAGCACACAAAACCATGGAAAATCTTCATGCCCGCATATGTGGAACGTATATGAATGCTAAGATGTTAGTCTAGAAGATTCAACGACA